CCCCCCCTCCGACACCCCCCCCCCCTGCAGCACTTCCTTCACTTCCCCTCGGATCCTCAATGCATACAGATAGGGGGAGAGCAGCAGGGATCCAGAGCAGAAGTTGCAAGCTGACACCCCCCTCCGTGCGTGGGCTGGCAGCGGAGGATCGGTACATATCAGTGATATGTACCAATCCTCTGTGCAGAGCAAACGCTGGAGTGATCACTCCAGTGTTTGTAAATAACTAGGGACACAAAGCACTATGTGTCCCCAGTTATGAATGAGTTTCTTTGATAGTAAATATTTTCTGAATGAATGGGAAGCCTCTGTGCCTTCCATTCATTTAGAACAGATCCTGCAGAAAAAGAGATTGAGGACTGTTTCCTCGATTTCTTTCTCTATTTTAAAAGAGAAATATCAGGGGGCTGTTTAGACCCCTGATATTTCCCCAACAGTAAAAAAATAAAAATAACATAAAAAAATTAAAATATAATAAAAAAAATAAAAAAAACCACATCCTGGAGGCGGGGCACTGGGTGACGTCACACGCCTGTTGGGGGACAAAGCGAGGAGAGAGAGAAAAGACAGCCATGGTAGAGGGCCGGTTCACACCACAAAGTCTGTGTCCCAGCGTGTTCGGCCTCTAGAACACACTGGAATGCAAGCCGGCTGACTCCCTGCGTTCAGGGGTGGCAGGGGGCGTGGGGTTGTATTGAAGTCAATGGCACTGCAGCCATGCCCCTCGCCCACAGTGCGATCGCCCGCCCCCGGAACGCATGCACATTAGTACCTGCATTCCAGTCCTGTGCAATCTGCAAAAATAGTGCTTTCAGCATTTTTGCAGATCGCACTGGACCAGAACGCAGGCAATAATGTACCTGTATTCCGGGGGCGGGCAATCGCACTGCGGGCGGGGGGCGTGGCTGCGGTGCAATTGACTTCAATGCACCGCCACGCCCCCTCCCGGCCCTGATCATTGGTAGATCTCATTGAGCTCGTCATATGAAAAGTAGATCTCCAGATGAAAAATTGTGGGTGCCCCTGCTTTTGAACTTCGTTGACCAAAAGCTGCATATGGTGTGAATGGACCCTAAAGGTTCGTGTAGAAAACAAAAGTGGAACCGTTGCCATTAGCAGTCAGTAATGTACAATCTCCTTCTCGTTTATTTCTTATCTATTTGTACCAATGTTTTCATACGTATGTTGTACATATTTTTGTCTAGGTCAGCGCTATTGTACTGTAATAGAACGGCAATTCCCTGAAGCTCCATTAGGTGTCGCCGTTACATATTGGAAGACATACCGGTATGAACACTTCGCTTGTAGCGCAGCTGCTGGAAAGGATACATGAGGAGGCGTGTCTTGCGGGTCTGTCACAGGAGCTGCCTACCAGTCACAGTGCTGGCTGTCTCTATGGTAACGTGCGTCTATTATACGTCACTAAGGCGGAAGTGTTGCAGTCAGCACACCTGTCCGAGGAGCCCGGAAGGTGGAGGGTATGGGTTTGCTCCTGCCGGTCATTGCGGGCTCTGTGCTCACTCTGCTGGTGTTAGTAGTCAGGATATGGCTGCTGCTAAGCAGTCCCGACAGACACCGACCTGCCCGGAAAGGCCATGTGAGCCTGTTGGTGGTGGCGGGTTCTGGTGAGTTGTGCAGAGAGGGGTGCTCTGCAGCTGGTCAGTGCTGACACTGGAGGCTGTCTGTCTATAGAGCGCCAGCATTTATTGCCATACCTAAAGCAGGGGAATTGCTACCGTAGGAGTCTTTAAGAGAACCTGTCACCAACTTAGATTAGAACTATACTTGCCTTTTCTCGTACTGGCCCAAATGCTCAGATTCCTTCCCTAAGTTCCCTTATACCGGAACTTCCGGTCAGAGGAAGATTTCCTCTGACCAGCAGTGCCATAGGGGAACATGGAGTTGGCTTCACAGGCAATCAGGAAGCCGGGTGGTGAGAAATGACCCACATCATTGATTGCCTGGGAAGCCGGCTTCCCCGTCAAGGTGCCCATACACTGTACAACCATCGCAAGACTTTTGTCTTGCGATGGTTGTAAAATAATTTTTTTTAAATAATTTAAAAAAGGTACGATCTGCCCATCATGGGCAGGCAGATCGTGCTTGTGATGACTGCAATGCTGAACACACCGGCCCGTTCAGTAGTTGTCGAACAAGCAGGCCACTAACCCACTGAGAATTCCAGCCTGCTTGGTCGACGGAAGACGTGCGATCGTACAGTATAAGCGGTCGCACGGCTTCCATACACTTTCCCGCGATTATCGCGCGTTAATTGTACAGTGTATGGGCACCGCCAATCAGCATTGAGCCGGCCGAACAGCCGACTCCTTGCTGATTGGCTGGTAAGCCGGCTTTCCAGCCATTCAGGGAGGCGGGTCATTACTCGCTGATTGGCCAGGAAGCTGGCTCAATGCTTATTGTGAGTGGCTGGGAAACCAGCTTCCCAGCCAATCGAGCCGGCCAAACAACATGGGGCCGGCTTCCCGGGCAATCAGGAAGTCGGGCGGCATGTCATTACCTGCCACCTGGCTTCCTGATTGCCGGGAAGCCGGCTCCATGCCATCAGAAGCATCGGTATCAGCGAGTACTGAAAGCAGAATATTGGTACTCGATACCGTAAGACCGGTATCTGTGCATACCTAAACATAACCATTTATGGTAAATAAGTGGAATACTAGCGTCACTTAAGTGACAGCTCGGAGTCTGCTTGTGATCTCCACATATGGGAGGCATAAAATATATTAAAAGTGTGCATAATCTTATGAGAAAGTTGTTACAATGAAGTGTCTAGCAACAGGGCCTTTAGCAACAAGGCAACCCTATTGCCTAATCTAGCCAGCTGCCCTCTGCAATAGAAGATGAGAACTTTCCTTTCCAGCCAATAGCAAGTAAGATCTTCATTGTTTTCATGACCTATGGGCACAACTGCTATCTGACACTTAGAGGTCCATTCATAGAGCAGTGGTATGACGTTACTAGGACGTGCCTCTGCCATTACCACCTTTGTAAGTTAGTATGTAGAGGTGCAGTGATGATGTATATGTGTGAACATTTTCATCACTCGCATTGCAGGCTTTCTTCATTTTTTTATGGGCTTTTTAGTAGGCCTGAATCCTACAGAATAAAAATGTTCTCCACTGGAAACCCAGACACTGGGGTCAGATTGTAAAGTAGCTGACCCCCTCCTTGTGAGTCATTGTAAAGGTGCCCATACACTGGCTGAATTTCGGCTAGTTTTTAGTTTACCGGCCGAAATACGCATAGTGTGTGAGGGGCTGTCAGCTCCCTTAGCTGATCAAAGTAGCTGGCTGGAAAATCTTTGCACGATCAGAGCGGGCAGCCAATGAGCTGCTCACTCTAACACCTGTCAGAATACAATGCAAACAGCGGCCATTCCTCGATCGACCTGCTGTTTGTGTTGGGGTTGCCACTGTGAATACTAATGAATGGGAGGAGAGAGCTCTCCTCCTAGAGTGTGTGTTATGCTGGGCACACACCTTACAACCATCGCAAGACCTTTGTCTTGCGATGGTTGTAAGGTAATTTAAAAAACGCACGATCTGCCTATCTTGGACAAGCAGATCGTATGTGCGATGATCGCAAGCCGTGCCCCCCTGAGGGGCGGGCTTCCGATGACCGCAATGCCGAACATGCTTCACACCCGCCGAACATCGTACGATGCTCGGCGGGTTTTCGAACATGTTCGTAAGTTAAAAGTCGTGCGAACTTACAGTAGTAGAGGTCGCACGGCTTCCACACACCTTACGATAATCGTACTATCGCGGGATTTCCCGCGATTATCGTAAGGTGTGTGGGCACCCTTACACAGACTGCTTGCAAAGCACAGAGGCGGCCATTTCAAATAAGCCATGAGGAGATGAAGAGGATGGGGTGAACAAAGAAAATATAAGATTCCTCCTTACAAGCGTTGGTCGAGGAATCTCCCACTGCCTTGTATTGTATTCAGACGACGGCCACTGTCAGAATACCTGAACAGAGCCAACAGCTCATTGACTGTAAGCTCTGTTAGTTTGAAGATTTTCCAACCGGCTGATCAAGGGATGCTGGCCGAAAGGGTACCAACAGCGACACCCACTGTGTACATTTCGTCCAGTTCATCAAGAACCAGATTCAATTTGCATAGTGTATGGCCAACCTTAGAAATGGGCCTCTCAATAGACCTAGGGAAAGTTCTTTATGCACCAGGGTTTGCCCCCCCCCCCACATGAGGGGATCTTCAGAGCTGACTTTTTATGCATTACTAATGATCAGGGCTCGAAAAATGCACTCGTCCACTCGTCTCTGACGAGTGGACGCCAGTGCTGGACGAGTAGCTTCCCGACCGGCTGTTGTAATTAAACGGCAGGCCGGGAGCTTTACATTCATTTGAACTCCTTTACGCCGCCCGCGGCGAACCGAGGAGCAGGAGAGCTGCCGCCGGCCAGTGGACTGCATTACCCAGCAGTCACCCTGGCGCAACGGAGGTGTGGCCGTGAGGAGACGGAAGGGGCTTCCGACGAAATGATATAATTTGGTGCCAAATTATTCAGCGTGTGGCCAACTTAAGCGGCCCTCTTCCTGCTGCACGTTTAGTGCCTGTGTGAGAGCTTGTTTCCACCAGAACGTGCGCTCATTGCACCGTCCCATGCCGGGAACGCAAGGGATCGCATACACAAAACCTCAGTGCGTTCTGGGGCGCAAGGGGGTGTGGCAGTCCCATTCATGTCGATGGCACTGCAGACACGCCCGCAGTGCGATCAGCCGGAAAGGACCGCATTGGTAATACAATGCCCTGCTTTCCATGCACTTTTTTCGCGATCATACCGCGAAACGCAGAGCATTACATTACCATGGTGGGCGACCGCACGGGGCGGGAGGGTCGGGGGAGTGCCATTGATATGAATGGCACTGCCACGCTCCCTCCTGTCCCAGAACGCATGGAGACTTTGTGTATGCGATTCCTTTGCGTTCCGGGACGGGACAGTGCAATGAGTGCACGGGCTGGTGGAAAACAAGCTCTCAATGACACCAGTTTGAGATGCTTCAGACATAATTTGGAATACAAATCTGCAGGTGAGGAGGGCCTGTGCCATCGAGGTTTTGTTTGTGAACAATGGTTTTGCACAAAAGATGTATCCATCCTGCACACAAATCTCCCCCCTCTAAACTTCCAGGGTGCACAGCCTGCATTGGTGCCACTAGAGACTCCACATGACGAAAGGCCAGAACTCCTTGTAAGATTTTGCTCTTTTAGTGCAGACGGCAATCGTAACACACTTTCAGGGCACGCAGGTCCTCTTTGTCCAGACAGGAAAAGGGCTATATCTTACATGGTGCTCTGGCCTTTATTCATGCTGGGAGGGGTTTACATGCCCATTTAGATCTAAGGGAATGCAAACCCCAAAACACAGAGGATTACCTGCTAATATTTTCCTGGTTATATTTTTTGGAAAGGCAAGAAGGTGGAGCAAAATGACATTTATTATAGGTATTTATATGGCATCATCCATTAATGCGGCACTTTACATATTATACATTCAAGTCAGCCCCTGCCCTTAAGCTCCTATCTCACACATATATTAGGGTCGATTGAGACAGCAGCTGAATAACCTACTAAGCATGTCTTTGCAGTGTGGGAGGAAAACTATGCAAGCACAGGGAGAACATGAAAACTTTGTGCACATAGTGTCCTGACCAGGATTTGAACCAATAACTCCAGTACTGCAAGGTATAGATATGACCCAGACAGATTGAAAACAATGGGATGCCAAGTAATGCACAATTTGATGCATCATGTTGCAGTAAAGTACGCGTATATGTGTGTTGCTCTGACATTTATTCTGAATAGCAGCCAGCGCGCATATACAGGAAAGAAAAATGCTCGTACGCTATAGCCTAGCGCAGCATGCAGACCTGGGTGTTGTGGGGAGCTGCGTTACTAAATAATAATGCAGTTGCATTCTTTTCATGTGCGAAAGTGTACTGACAGTCCATTCAAAATAAGTGGGCTGCCTTACCGCAATATCCCTCAGCGTAGCAAAATGTTCACTGGTCACCACTTTGGCCAGGACACTCTGCATGGTGTTTACAAGTTCTTCTTTTTACTTGTGGGGACTCTGATTTCCTTCCACACTCCAAAGACATGCTGGTAGGTTAGTTGGCTCTAGTATGTGTGCATGTGAGATAGGGATGTCAGATTGTAAGCTCCTTGAGGGCAGGGACTGATGTGAATGTAAAAGGCTGTGTAATGTGACGGAGCTGTGTAAATATCTGTAATAAATAATGTTCATGTGATAACATATGTAGGTTTTACATATACCAAGTGATTGCATGTTTGTAAATAAACATGCTTCGAAAAAGGAAAACAATGATGTGATAGTAATCGTTCTGTATTGTATTATGTGTGTAGGCTATAACTGTTTAGGAAAGCTTTGATTGCCCCAAATAAATAGAAAGCCTAAAATCCATTAAAAGAATGTGCAATATATGTAAAGATGAGAGGTATTCACGTGCTGTGTAAACAAAGAAATATGTGTTTATATGGAGACCCCCCTCTTGTGCTAATACCGTTACCCACAATACCTCTCTCCCAGTTATTTTGAACAAGTTGACATGGAGTAGACAATACTGAACCGGATTTCTGTACTTGTAGTGCCATGGAGGGAAATCTTGAGCCTCCGTCTGTGCAGGTATGGAAAGCTCAAAGTGAAACCTCAGTCAGTTTTCTTTTAGCCGTTTTTGTTTTGTGTGTGCTTTGTTGGAGAGAGTTCTCCTGAGCTCCTGTCCTGGTGACAACTGGTGTAAGAGGAACAGACAGAACAGATGTTGTAACCTTTCTCCATAGTTTTGATAAGAGTTCTCTGCCTTAAGGCCTCATTCACACACAACGCAAGCAAAATTGTATATTGTGTATATACGCACATATATTCGTATATGCGTGCACTATATGCAATCCCAGAATGCATCACTCGTAATGGAATTTTTAATGTGCTGTATGCGCGTAAATACGCAGAAATACGCTGCCCGGATGCATCTCTGTTCCATTCTGTTTTTGCGCATATATACGCTACGCAAATATACGGCTCTATACGCGGCTGTGTGTATGGAGCCATTTATTTGCATAGGTTGCATATGGTACAATACGCACGTACGCGCGTATACACGCGGCAGTGTGAATGAGGCCATAATCCAAAACTAATTCCTCAGGTGGCTGAACTGAAGTAAAGTAACCATTGAATGTGTTCAGTTACTTAACCAGCTTCTAGTAAGACTTGACTCCAGTAGTCTTTAGATAATTGTAACTATTTGCTTTGTACCAAGGAGTACCACTACATTGCTCTTGCTGGATTCTCTCAGAGTAAGCTAGGTTGGGTGATTCTGACCGCTCTTGCTTTGGCATAAAGCAGATTAGTTATGGAGCAGGATAAACAGAATATGGATCTTGGCAAGAACATGCCATGGCCTGGAGTCCTTTTAAGAAGCAGCAGGCAGGGAAACCTGTACTAAGAGAAGTAAGTGGTCTACAATGGCCAAGTACGTCCAGGAAATATCAGATGTCTGGCAACCTCAGGATTTATCAGAACAAATATGAGAGCAAAGAGTGTCGAATCCCAATTTGTTCTGGGTCAGTGACTTGGAATTCATTGAAGCTGTTGGATCAGCATAAAAGCCAAGCGATTTAGATTTAGTAAAATAGGGAGGTCAGAAGTTGCAGCTCACCTATTTATTTTAGGAAAGTGTTTATCACTATATTTTATTATTTATTTTATAGTATTATATTGATTTTTTTTTTGATTTTTTTTTATCGCAATTTTATACAAAACTTTATGCAATTTCTGTAGCTGGGCCTCTTTGTGTCTACTCTTCAGGTGGCCACACTACTGAAATCCTGAGATTACTGAGCAGTTTGTCCACGTCTTATTCACCAGTCCACTACGTGCTTGCTGAAACGGATAAGATGAGCGAAGATAAAATTCATTCTTTTGAAAGTGCCAAAGTTAATGGGACCCCCAAACCACTGGTAAGTATGCTGTTTATTTTGGACTGCATGGTTCTTGAAGCTTAATTATATATAATTTTTTTAGGATCCTTCTAACATGTCTTAGTTATCTACTGTATGCACTAAATAACACACAATACAATGAAATACCGGGAAAAACACATCGTTCTTATTTTATTATTGTAGATTCTGGTATGTTTAGTCACCCCCTAAATATATATTTTTGCCACTCCAGTTGTGTGATTCCTATAATCCCACGATCTGTTCCCAATGCTGGAAAACAGTAGGTCCCCCTGCACTCCTTACAGCGTTTACGGTCCAATTAAAAATGTTGGTGCTCACAGTGACGATCACGGATTGCGCCATGCACTGCAGTCAATGAAGGATAGAAATCACCAGCACTCAGTAGATGAAGTTCAAAAAATAACGTCCATTTAATTGGACTAAACATCACGCATATCGCAGTATCCAACGTTACGGGACCATGCAGGGTCCCTTCATCTGTGCCCTGATGAAGGGACCCTGCATGGTCCCAAAACGTTGCAAAAAAAAAAAAGACAAAAAATTCCAGTTTTGTGCCCAGCTCCAACTTAATGTCTGGGGACCGCCATAAGTATTGACCAGTCCTAGGAATTAATGGAGTTAGCACAGTAGGAGTTCAATGCAGCCAAACGTTTTCTACAAAGGCTCTGCAGCACTGAGCAGAGCTGCTCAGTGAAGATCTCAGAATCACGCTGGAAGGTATGTATTTAAGTAGGTGGCTTCAACTTGGGGGTGGGGAAAACATTTTAAAAGACAACTTTATTTTAAGTGATTATGCACTTTAAAGCGGAAGTCAAGGCACCAGAATAAAGACCCAGTCCTGTAGAGAAACTCCTGACATATGCAATAATAATATACTTAATGTTCTGCTAATGTATATTCTGAAACACTATCTTCAGAGTAGCAATTTCCCATTGCTTGGAAACACCCACCCAGCCATCTGTATCTCTTATCAATGGACCAAAATAGAATACGGAAGGTGCTGTCTAATTAGTCTACCTGGATTATGCATAGAAAAGCTGCTCTATTCAGACAGACAATAGCTGTTATTATCGCTATTCTAGCTGTCTCCAGAAGTATGGCCAAAGTGTTTCAATTCCCAGCACTGCCGTTTCGTATCCTACACCAACATATACTGTAGATATCCGGCACTAAATATGGTTCCCATTCAGAGTAACATTTTCTCTGGGAATTTAGGATCTACAGTAATCTGAACAGTTTTGGTTAACCGTTTATGCCAATTCTTCATCAACAGTAGACTCTTGCATTAAAATTCCCATATTGTCTCAATTTTCTTTTAGCTGACAACTAAAGGTACCAGGACTTAGGGGTTTACTTGTGCCACGGGCAGATGCTGTTTACATGGCATTAGCAACCCTAGAGTGTTCTGAGCAGTATAGGGAAGTTTTATACATAACCCTGTTTAGTTTTATTTTTCCTAAAATCTCCTGAAAACACTTTAGTTATGCATGAGGTCTGTTGTGGTCTTTTAGTTCTAGCAAGAATTTTACATCCTTTTTAATATATTGTTTTTATACTGAAGCAGTTCAATCCAAAAGTATTTTTAGGTGCGTTAAAATAAACTGCTGCATTGTTTTTTTAAATTTGTAATTCTCGCCACCCAGTATATTCAGTGATGACAACTTTTTAAAGTCCAAGTACCAGAAAAAGTGCAATACTGCAATCATGTGACTTGCTGTTTTGTACAGAATGCCTAAGGTCTCGTTCACACCTAGGCGTATTGCATATGCGCGTCTGTCGCGCGTTTCCGAAGGCTACTTGGCTGTATCCCAATGGAAACGCGCAACAAAACGGCCCAAAGTAGTACCTGTACCTTTTCAGACGTGGGCCGTTTTGTAGCGCGTTAGGGACGGGCGGAAATACGCCAAGGTGGGAACGAGACTATTGAATACAATGGGATTTATATTTTTGAGCGTTTTGTAGAGCGTTCGTCGAGCGTACAACGCGCTACAAAACGTTCAGGTGTGAACGAGGGCTAAAAACCCATTATTATTTATATGCAATTATTATACAAAAAAATAAAATATTTTCACTATGTGCCACTAGGTGGAGTAGCTCTGTCATATATTAAACACTCACTACGTGCTAAAGATGTTGTTTCTAGTTGTATTTTTGTGAGCTGGTAATATTAGAACGCATTAACAATAACAAAGTGTACCTAAATAATATAAATAAACTCTCAAGAGATCAAATATTTTAACAAAGACCAACATAGTACAAAAGGAAATACAACAGTGTTGCAAAATATAGAGCTGTTTATAGTGCACTGTTCATTTCTACCTTGTCTATCTGCTGAACAGTCTTTTAGACAAAAGACTAGTCTATAAGCATTCATGTTTTCGCCAGGCAAATGTGTACATACGTATGCGAGAGTACACTCCGCAGACCTCACAGGCACTGTCCTATTTTATGGTAAAGCAATCATCATACAGTTATAACTTTTCTGCTGAAAGACAGAGACATCTTTGTTCAGGCGTCATCCATGGACATCATCGACTTCCTAGGCTGAGATACTGACGCACTTTTGTCTAAGAGATATATGCTACGCCTGATGGTCCAGCCATCATGGTAATGTAATCTACTGTATGTCTGAATGATTAAAGCTGTCCATGCACTGGCCGACTTTCATCTAGAGCTGCAACAGTTAATCGATTTTAGTCGATTAAAAACGTTACCAACATCCAAGACCTGCTGACTCCTAATATTCCACCAGTGTTTGGCCCAGTCCAGCACCCCTCCTTTTGTCAAAATTTTGTAGAAGAAACTGTTCCAAAAATTCTAGGCAGTACAGTGACCGCGGCCAGTCATTTGCAGTCACTGTTTTGGTATTCTGACAGTGGCACACTCCACTGTCAGAAAATAGTGGTCCAGCGGGGAGAAGCCCCCATACACACTGTTATGTGAATAATAGAATCAAACATTTTTTCTCATTTAGCACACATTTAAGAAAAGCGCATTTTAAGAAAAATAAAATGAGGTAATTGTTAGATTGATGGCAGCATCAGGTCTCAAAATCATTGCATTTGTTTTATGTAGATTTTACATCTTTTGCAAGTGTGTGTTTATACTATTTAAATTATTATTCTTTTTTTTTTTTTCTTTTTCTTTTTCACATGGATTTCTGCAATCCTCATATTGTATTTACCTGTTTCGGTTCTGTTGACACTGCCACATAGCTTTAAGTTGTATTTTATTTTGGAATCTAAGTGGGATCCTTGCCTGCTATAATCGCATAATCCGTTCTAGTGTTGTAATAAGATAGAAATGCTGTGAAATGCAGTGACCCAATCATGTGAATAACTAATGGCATTTTTAAGCACTGGACACTGCACTAAGGGCCCCGACATTGTTATGGTTATAAGGAAACAATATTCAAGGGGTTTTTGGCAGTCTTAGCTTACAGAATGAAATGGGTCATTGAACTAACATTAATTGGCAAAAGGACTTGTAGTAGCAATGCATGTGTTATTTCAGTTTTTGTGAAGGTAGAGTTTTTCCTTAAAGAAAATGTAATCATTTACCCCATGTGCAATTTATTTTTTGTAGTATACAATCCACCGCATTCCCAGAAGCCGAGAAGTCAGACAGTCCTGGAGTTCCTCTGTCCTAACCACCATACAGTCCTTCTTATACTCCTTCCCATTAACTGCCCGCCTAAAGCCAGACTTGGTAGGTCATTCTTATTTCCCTCTGCTTTGTTGTGTTGCAACTACATCTCAGAAGATGGTTTACATTTGGCTTTACTGATGATCCTTGCTAAACAATGAATTCCTCCCAAATTGTATGCACAGCAGCTCCATGTAAGGCCTGGTTCACACATAGGAGAGAACAATTTTGATGCACGTTTCTGAGGTTTTTTTTGCACGTTTTGTGAGCACACGTCAAAACTCACGTCATTGTGAGCAGATTGTAGCTCATTGTGGGGAAAAAAAAAGCTCCTGTACTTTTTACAGCGACAGGCGTTTTGCTTATTGTGACAAAACGCTCAAATGTGAACAGGGCCATGGAAATTAATGGGATTTTGGGGGGGTAGACTTTTTTTGATCCTTTTTAAGGCAGAAAAAGCGCTGCAAAACGCTCTGTGTGAACCAGGCCTAAAGGATAAGTTGACAGCATATTATTTTTTTAAATTGTTTTTATTTTTTATGTATTGCGGTGCTTTACCCACTCTCACCTGTGAATGTAGAAGCCGCGGATTAGACGCTCCCACAGGCAAGCCTTTAACCTCTTGCCGTCCGCCCGTAGTAAAAAAACGGACGGACGGCACTGCAGCATCTGCGGGTTGCCGTCTCCAGACGGCAATTTTTTTCTGCTCGCGCGCGCCCCCTAGCGGGCACGCACGGGCATTCCTGTATGTATGATGATTAATAATGACATAGACATGTCAGGTGTAAAATGCTTTGATTTTGAAATACTTACACTTGCAGAGCATTCACTTCCGGCTTTGTAAGGTGCAAATAACCAGTTTGTCAACGCCATGCACACTGGGATTGGCTTGTCATCGGCAGAGCATTCCTGGGACATCTCATCTGTAATCTCATGAGATCTCAGGGAAAGACATTTTCCTCCCCTGAGATGATGTGCATGGTCACATGTCCTAGTCACACGTGTAGTCACATGTGTAGTCACATGTGCCAGAAATCCAGGAAGTGAAAGGAGAGGTAGTTATCTGCCCTTTTGCTAACATGGCCACTGTTGGAAGACTGGGAAAGAAAAGAGAAATAAGATATGGAAAGAATACAAAGCCGGCAATTATCTAGAAGTGTGTGTTTGTAGATTGTCATTACTAAACATTTCTAAAGGTGTGTTTGTTATTTTACAGATACGGGTAAAGATCCGATTTAGGGGAGCCATAGCACATAGAGGAACAACAAATCCCAGCAATAATACATTATACAGGCTGTTTAATATATTATTGCTGGGATTTGGTGTTCCTCTATAGCTGCTGGTGTTCTGCAGTGTGTCGCTGTATTATACAATGCAGAACACCATATACAATGCAATGCAGAAAACCAATGTATAATACACCGGCACACTGCAGAACATTAGCAGCTATAGAGGAACAACAAATCCCAGCAATAATACTTTATACAGGCTGTTTAATGTATTATTGCAGGGATTTTTTGTTCCTCTATAGCTACTAATGTTCTGCAGTGTGCCGCTTTTAAAAAAAAACACACAGGAAACATTACAAAGCTCCTGGCCGTGCAGCGGCGAGCGGGAAATTTGAATTTTAGCCGACGAATCGACGATGGAAAACGTTGACAACTTTTTCCATCGTTGATTTTAATCGACTTAATCGAATAATTGTTGCGGCTCTAGTCCGAATACATCTGAATAGTGTAAAGGGGGCTATGACAGGAGAGTGGAACAGACAGGAAGTGGCTGACTTTACAGGCTTGCCCTGCAAAATGCTTGCACTTGTCCCCTGCTCTTTCACCCAGAGATGCGTATAATGTCTTTTAAATATGTGAGGTAGCACATTATACAATTATAGGAAGGCAAATGTGCCCATGTTGTTATTATTATACAGGATTTCTATAGCGGCAACAGTTTTCCGCAGCACTTTACATTATAAGGAAGAAATTGCCATCACAATACAATTCAAGACGGTAAAGAGGGCCCTGCCTGTGAGGGCTTACAATCTAAAAGGGAGGGGCCAGTGATACATGAGAAGATAGCTGTGTGGGGATGAATTGTTTGAGAATATTATGGTTCAGTGGTTAGGTTGAGGTGGGATAGGCTTCCCTGAAGATATGAGTCTTTAGGGAACGCCTAAAGGCAGTCAAGGTGGGAGATAGACATGTTGGGGTAAAGAGTTCCAGAGGATGGGAGAGACTCTAGAGAAGTCCTGGAGGCGAGTATGGGAGGAGTTGACAAGGGAGCTGGAAAACAGGAGCGGAGGGAACGGTTAGGGTGATATTTTGAGACAAGGTTGGAGATGTAACGTGGGGCAGAGTTGTGAATGGCTTTATAAGTGATATTTTGAATTTGATCCTTTGGGCGAGTGGAAGCCAGTGTAGGGATTGACAGAGGGGGGTTGCAGACACTGAGCGGTTGGTTAGGTGAATGAGTGGCAGCTGCATTCATGATAGACTGAAAGGGGGAGAGTGTATGAGTAGTTTTGCGGTTACATTGGTGAAGGGGTGTAGTTTGGAGACGTTGCAAAGGTGAAGGCGGCAGGATTCGGATAGTGATTGGATGTTTGGAAGAAAGGTGAGGTCCGAGTCAAGGATGACACCTAGCACCTTGGCATGAGGGGAGGGTTGGATTGTTGTGTTATCAATCTCAAGGGAAAAGTTGGGGGAAGGTGCACGGGCGGGGGGAAATATCAAGGAGCTCAGTTTTTAAAAGATTGAAGTTTTAAGAAGTGTTCTGACATCCAGACTGATATGTCAGTTAATAGATTAGTGACACGCAAGGACACTGAGGGGGTGAGTTGTGGAGTAGAAAGTCAAATCTATCTGTCATCAGCATAGAGATGGTATTGGAAGCCATGTAATTATGGGAAGGCAAATGTGCCCAGGTTAGTGTAGAGTAATAACATTTTAAAGAGCTAAAAATGTGTAGTTGGTTTCAGAAAACGTCCTGCATACCATGAAATCTGCATTTCTTGTCTGTATATTCCCTATGGATTGGCTTAGAAAAGAAACAATCGCTTTCACCTTTTCCCCACTCTCCTTTGTTAATGCAGAAATCAGGTTAAATGCCTTTTTGTCATTTGTTCTCTATATTGCTACAGTGATGAGTCTCTCTATGTCCATATTTATTTTTGCACTTTACACAAAGCTGTCTGGTAATTGGTGAACTGTACACCAAGTTTAGTCTCAGACATTGCTATTTCTAGAAGGTTGTTTTTAAATCCTTTATATAGACCAAAGAATGGTGCTGTTTGAGCTCTGAAATGTGGAGATTCCTGTTCTTTGGCACTTTTTAAATAAAATAATGTAAGTAAAGGTAAGTTTTAGTCAATGGCACTTTTAACCTTTGTAGTTACGGGAATGTGGCGTGAGCCCTTATTACAGTGACTTCGGTTTTGTTGAACATTTATATGTGTAGCTCTGATTTTAAAACCCCCTGTACCAAGTCACAAGGGACAGCACAGGCACCAGCAACTGTCCATTATCAGCTTGGAGGGGGAGTGATCAGAGGGTGCTCCAGTCCCCGCCCAGGACAAGGTTGGCTACAAAGGACCCTGTAAGGGAAAGTAGCCACACTATAGCAGAAAGAGGGTCCAGTGCTGAGGAGACTAGGTAAATCAAGGTAAAAAAAAGACAAGTTTCCTCCAAGAACAAGCAGAATACACTGCAAGTCTATATCTCAGCAGTATGCGTTGCCAAAAATAAGACTTTAATATTACTTTAAAGCTGTACTCCAGGCAAAATACTAAATACACAATCAAAATACAAATATACACCAGCCACTTTATTAGGTACACCTTGCTGGTACTGGATGGACCCTTTTTGTCTTCAGAACTGCTTTAATTCTTTGTGGCATTGGTTCAACAAGGTGATGGAAACATTCCTTAGAGAGTTTGGTCCATACTGACATGATAGAATCACTCATTTGCTGCAGATTTGTCGGCTTTCCGACAGCCGACAAATCTGATATAAATGTCCTTATATCGTGAATAGTTCCACTTCAAATATAAATGATCTTGTGACTTTCCACCAAAATAAAATCCTCTGTGTGAAAAAACAAAAAATCCTCCTAACCCTTATGGGCAGACACTCACCAATTGATATGTGACCTCTTAGATGAGAAGGTTGAATGCGCTGAATCAGAACCTCAAGTGAATACAAATGTTCCAGGTCTCCGTGCCTGCATCAGTGGTCCTCGATAAATATACACACACCAATAAGGAAAGGGTGAAGGAAATATCTCATAGTGTAAAATACCCTTTATTAAACGAACAAATAAAAACCAGAGATAACTATGCACCCGTAATAAAGTAACATACCAAACCACTCCATGTCAGATGTACTCCCCAAACAGCATGTCCACTGCTTGTCTATGCGTGACCGTGCTCAGACCTGCCCAGCGCACTTCTTTGGGAGACCATATAGGCTTTGCCTGCTACTCTGCCAGTCCCAGCACCAGCTTATCTAGAGGGAGTCAGTAACCATTGCATACAATTTCATAGACATGAGTAAGAATGGTCAAGGCATTCCTGCTTAGGGGAGAAACTGTTCCAAAAGACTACAGGAGACTTTCCAACTGTGTGCACATTCACTTTTATTAAGTAGATGGCTCACTCTCCCCTCAGGCTTGTTATAGATACTGAGCCATGCTCCCTGCTGCAGAATCCTAGTCTAAGTGCTGGTTTCAGAGCTTAGACAGAACACTTATTTCACAGCTTCCCACATGACCGTATTCAGACCTGGTGATTGGCCGTCCAGACCCTAGCAAGGTCACATGGGGAAGGTCACGTGCTCCCTCATTCCTAGGAACCACACCTATTGGCAAGGTCTTCGGCTTGACATGGAGGCGGCATGGCTCAATAAGCATGGGTGGTGGACTATCTGCAGACTCTGGCAAGTGAGCATGACAGTGTCCCTTTAACCTGTGCGGGATATTCTGAGGGTGCTTCATCAATGTTACCCTATCCCAACAGCAGAATCTAAATTTACAACAGGGTCAGGGGACGGCCATTAATGGGCACCTTTTGT